TCTCTTTATTTCTACTGTTCTAGGACACTACCACCTGAGGGCCAGATGCAGCTCACTGGTAGTTTTGTAAATAAAGTTTTATTGGGACACAGCCATGCCCCTGTGTTTAGGTATTGTCTATGGCTATTTCTTGCTACAACAGCAGAGTCAAGTAGCTGAGACAGACACCATATGACCCACAAAGCCTAAAATATTTATGACCTGGCCCTTGATAGAAGAAGTTTGCTAACCCCAATTCTAAGCAAACAAAATAAAATGAAAATCTTTTTCTATAAAATTAATACACAAGCATTATAGAAAGTTTAGAAAATACAGAAAAGAATACAATAAAGAAAAACAACTCTTTATTCTATAACTTAGATACAATCACTATTAATATTTTAGTGTTTTTCTTTCTGTTATCTTGTAGTTCTCATGCCTGAGTGTGTGTAAATATAAATATGCCTATATACAAAATTAGGATCATAATTTTAAAACCTGCTTCATGATTTCAAAATATATTATGAATATTTTCCTATATGAATTATTATGTTTTTGTAACATGATTTAAAATCTCTGTGTAGTAGTCCATGGAATGGAGGTAACAAAATTTAGTCAGTCATCATTACAGAGAATTTATGATGTTTACAATTTCTGCTCTTTTAAGTAATGCTGTGATGAACATTGTAAACATTCTTAGCTCTGGAAGGTCATGAGAGGAGGGTTAGAGTCATCACCTACTGAATGGACATTTTGTATTCTCTCTCTCTCTATATATATATATAGAGAGAGAGTGATAAGAAGGCTAGTAAGTCAGCATTGTATTTCACATATTCCTAGTGGTCCTTGGGGGTATGGGGGACTGGGTGGGGGGTGTAGGGAAAGGGCGGGAGGCAGGAGGAACAGTATACACTAGCACCAGCAATATTTTATGAAAGCAATTAACTGGGAAACAATGTTAGGAGTGCTATATAGGTTACATATTCTTGCTTTAAATCTTAAAGATGAAAAAAATAGAATTTTCTTTGTGATGAATAAAATTTTAATTGTTGGGTGACTAGGTGTTATGAACCAAAATGGGAAAGATGCAGGGATGGGAGTCAGTTGGGAAGACAAATGGACCACTTGAGGTTTGCACATACATATATCTTATGATAGTGACATTGCATGATTTTGAATCATGCAAATTTTAAATAGTGGGATATTAAAATAGCAATAAAGTCTCACCTTATACACAAAATTAGAAACAACTTGAATTCCCCCAATTTTAAAAATTAGCCAAAGTTTGGGGCACCTGGGTGGTTCAGTCAGTTAAATGTCTGACTCTTGATTTTGGCTCAGGTCATGATCTCAGGGTCCTGAGATTGAGCCCTGCATCAGGCTCTGTGCTGGGCATGGAACCTGCTTAAGATTCTGTCTCTCCCTCTCCCTCTGTCCTTCCCTGAACCCCCCATCCCCAGCTCATGCACACGCATGCTCTCTCTCTCAAAAAAAATTTTTTTAAGATAAAAGCAATTAACCAAAGATTGAGTATTTTTTAAGTAAGTACATTGTAAGTCTTATTTATGACATTGCTGTATGACTGTCCCATGGAAGAGAAATACCCAGCACCCTCTGTCAATATCATGGGAACCACACTTTTTTTTCATGAGCAGCAAAATTTTGATGAGTGATTTTGATGACCGCTATTCCGTTATTCTAATGTTTGATGTTATCATAGTTGCAAATATTAGTATCATCCTAACATTCATCAAACATTGTTAATTCATGGTGGTGTTACAAGTACTGAAAAATACACCTGAAATTCAATAACCTTGGAACATGAGTTAGATGTGATTAAAAAGCCACTAAGACGGTAAGTAAGTGAGACACATGCAATGCTATTTATTTAGGAGAGAGCAGTTTGCAAAACATTAAAGAAGATGCTGAGAAAATACAGAGCAGCATTAATGCAAAAAATGTGCTATAACAGCAGGAGACTTAACAGCTCCATAATTCATCCTCTCTAACTTATGTTTATTCTTGTGAAGACAATTTTCTAGAATATGCACATTTTGAATAATGTTGAGTCTTCAGGTATATACCTCTTAGATAAAATAAATCACATAGGAAATTGTTCTAGGTAAATTCAAGTGAGGAAATCCTAGAGACATTTGGAAATGCAATGCTGGAATTCAAAAAAGAGACCCAAACTGGAGCCGTAAAGTTGGATGTTATCTGTGCAAGACTGAGAGTTTAAATCATGAGACTTGCTAAGGAGAGAGTACACATTTAAGAGGTTAAGAACATAATCTTCTGAAGCCACCAAAATCAGAGGACAGGAAGCAGAGAGGGAGGACACTTACTGAGAACCTAGCACGTGTCAAGAAAGTTCCAAGCATATACTTCTAGCATCTCATTGAATCCTCGCGGTCGCCCTGCCAGGCTGCTGCACACACCTGGTTGTAGAATGAGGGCAATGAGACATGAGAGGTGAAGCAGCTTGGCCCAGGTCAGTCAGGTCTGTTGGATTCACTGCTTCCTTGAGAGGCATGAGATCAAGGCATGGGTAAACCTGACATAGAAAAATCAACTGCAGGGGCGCCTGGGGGCTCAGTCAGTTAAGCGGCCAACTCTTGATTTCAACTTAGGTCATGATCTCACTGTGCTGGGATGGAGTCCCACGTCAGGTTCTGCACTCAGGGCTCAGGGGGGAGTCTGCTTGAGATTCTCTCTCTCTCTCCCCCTCTCCCCCTCCCACACTTGTGCGCATGCACTCTCTCTACAATAAATAAATAAATCTTTTTTTAAAAAAAGAAAAGAAAAATCAATTGCACAGTTTCAAGACAGAGAGGAGAGAAGGTGAGGTAACTCAAATGAAATGAATCAGTGCCCTCCGCCTCCGTGAATGGCACCACCATCTACCCAGTCTGCAAAGTGATAAATCCAGGAGTTATCTTTCACTTCCCTCTTTCTCACCCCTATATCAAACCCATCAGGAGCTCCTAGGATTTCTACCTGAAAATGATATCCTGGCTTCACCATGTCTCCTGCCCACCACCTTACCCTAAGGTACACACTTCTCTCTCCCCTAGAAAGCTCTAGTCCTCTTCTTATCCCAGCTACAACCCATTTTCCCCTACAACAAAAAACAAATGAATGCTATTGAGATTTGGGGCATTAGCTAACCATTATTCATCGTTGGGCCTTCATTCCTGGGGCTGACCTGTCCATTTCAGAGTGTGTAGCATCCTTGGCCTCTGTCCAGTAGCCCCCCAAGTGAGCGCCTCCACTGACCTTCAAACATCCCTCTGGGGGAAAGGTGATACTGCTCAGCCCCACCTCACCCATCCCCAGGTTGAGATCCACAGAAGCTGGGTGATCGTTTAACGTAAATCAGATTATGTCACTTACAACCTTTAGTGGTTTCCCATTTTACTGAGAATAACACCCCAGTTCCTTCCGGGGATGGCAAAGCTGTTCCTGACCTGGCCCCATCTACTTCTTCAACCTATCTTCTAGAACCCTCCTCCTTCTCCTCTTACGTGCTTCGGTCCAGCTTCCTTTCTCATCCTTGGGCACATCAACCTCTCTCCTGCCTCTAGGCCTTTGTGCCTGTTAGTCCCCTGGAAGAGCTCCTCCTTTGATTCTTCTGGATTGGCCCTTCTCTCTTTCTTCAGGCTTAGGCACTAATGCTGATGTAGGTGTGAGGCTGCCAGTGGCCATGATGGCTAAGACTGAAGGCAGACCTTGCTGAGAGATGGAGGTGGGGAGAGAAGGTATCTTTTGAACTCCTGGATCCTGCTGTGCCTTAGGTGGGACTCATCCATTTGAATTCCCAAATTCACAGAGCAGTAACATTCCCCTTTTACTTATGTTGGGTTGGGTACCTACCACCTGCCCTCAAAAACACTGGGACCAACACTCCATGTGTTCCCTCATGGCAACACCTGTGTGTAGCAAGGGTGGAAAGCACACGAGTCTCTTTTAGTACTGGGTGAAAGTTGCCTTTTCAGGGTCTTCTTTCGAGTTCCCTTAAGGAAGAACCAGAGGTGCTCAAACCCTCCCATTCCCAGGTCTCTACTAAATTATGTCTCCCAGCATCCTGCCCCATTATCTCCTCTCTCTTTCTTCTTCCACCTCTTCCCATATTTTGTCTTAAATATGCTGAAAAATCCTCTTTCCAGAAAAGGAAATCTTCCCTCGACCCAGTTATCCTTTTGCATTCCATCCTATCTCTCCCACCATTCACCATCAAACTGCTTGAAAGAGAATGCATGAGTCCCTCCATCTCCTCATCATCTACAACCAGGTCACCCCCTGCAAGTAGCTATTTTTTTTTAAGATTTTATTTATTTATTTGAGAGGGAGAGAGTGAGAGACAGAGAGCACGAGAGCGGGGAGGGTCAGAGGGAGAAGCAGACTCCCCGCCAAGCAGGGAGCCCGATGCGGGACTCGATCCCGGGACTCCAGGATCATGACCTGAGCCGAAGGCAGTTGCTCAACCAACTGAGCCACCCAGGTGCCCTTTTTAAAAAGATTTTATTTATTTATTTGACAGAGAGAGACACAGTGAGAGAGGGAACACAAGCAGGGGGAGCGGGAGAGGGAGAAGCAGACTCCCCGC